TCTTCTTCTTCTTCTTCTTCTTCTTCTTCTTCTTCTTCTTCTTCTTCTTCTTCTTCTTCTTCTTCTTTTGTATTTTTATGTGTGTCGGGACAAGATGTTGGGAGCATAAAGGGACTTTTATTATCCACATTTTTGTATGCATATATATGTATGTGTATTTATACGTATATTGCTTTGATTGTCCACTAAAAACACATTAAGTCCAAATTATTGATTGTAAGGGTACTCTGGTGGCTTAGTGGTAAGGAGTTGTGCTGCCAACCCAAAGAATCCTGGTTCAAATCCACCAGTTGCGCCATCTGAAAGCCCATTGGAAGGTCAGCTATGGGTCAGTTCTGACTTGATGGTATACAACAACAACAACAGAGATAAAAAGGGTGTGGTTGTACAGTGATAAGGAGTTGCAGTGCCAACACAAAGGCATGCAGTTTAAACCCAATAGATGTCCCATGGGGGTGGGAAATGAGCAATCTCTTCCTGTATCATTTACAACCTCTGAAAACTTGCTGGAGAATCAGCTATGTCACTTCTGACTTTACAGGCATATAACAACATGGAAAGATGAAAGGGGAGGAAAGTAAGCTGGGGGAGGGTGTGGGGACTCACAGTACCACCAAGGAAGAATCGTCAGCAATAGAGTGTGTCTTTTCAGGCCCAGGCCCTTGCATTAGGAAGCGCCTTGACACCAGAAAAAGCCAAGATGCATAGAAATCGCCAAGGAATGCTGGGCTGGCAATGCAGAAGGAACCAAGGACTTTCTTCCACAACCAACAAAGAGAGTGGGGTCTTTCTTTCAGAGCTGCGACATTGAATTCAGACTTTTAGTTTCCTAAATAATGGCAAGAGACTAAATTTCTGCTTGTTGAAAGTATCCCCTTGTGGAATTTCTTGTTTCAGCACTACTAGATAACGAAGATGGCACCTAAAGAATACCTTCACTTGTGTCTGTAGTAATTAAAGTCAGGGTCAAAATCAGGGGGAGTGGACATCAAGTCGGAGGTATTTGTTCAATTGTTAAAGCTGAAGTGCCAGCCAGAGCTGAGGTATGTAGAGAGGCTCAGAGAAATGAGATCCACATCCTTGATAGTCACCCTTGGGATGAGCAGCTACACATGGTATGATGAGCTGGTAAAGGTTTTTTCGGAGAGAATGGGGAGATCACTGTTAATTATCTCTACAGCGCTTTTATTTACTCTGTATGCATATATGTGAAGGTGAGTCAGGGCTATCTCAAAATAAGTCTGTGTAGGATAGACAGAAACTAGAATTATGTCCTGTCCTGAGCGATGACATACTGCTCTTTTTTACATTAAAATGGTGTAGTTCCACGGAGGAGGTTAATCTATCTTATGATCGTCGATCTTAATATCCCACAATAGACAAAGAGGGTGGTGAGACCACCTCCATAGATCCAACCAGACATGTTTCCAAGATTCCAAGCTTCCACATGGAGTTGCCATGATGGCCCAGGAAATGTGTAAAAAGATCAGATCACCCTCACACTACTGTAGAATCTTACTGACTTTCATAAAGTAGATGACCATGCTCATAGTCAAGGTCATAGTCATGGTGGCTGCCATATTTGAAAGTACTTGTGCTATAAACACTCTTCTGAGAGAAGGCAAAAGGAAAAGGCCATTGGACCGTGTACTGAGCTGTCCTTCACTAGTGGTGCTGAGTGGAGTCTGGATGCTCAGATTATGGCTTGTCCTCAAAAGGAAGGTTCCTCCCGGCTCTGAGATTATCTAATATATCTGATGGGAAAGAGATGGAAAGTGTTGGAACACTTCTTGGTTTCAACATTTGGTTGATGGAAAACCAATTCAAAACTCCAAAACTCAAATTGATTACTGTTACTTCAAGTGCAACTTATAATGACACCATGTGTGCCAGAGTAGTACTAAATGGCTATTTTTTTTTCTCTGAAGTATATCACAAGGCCTTTCTTCCAAGGCACCTCTGGGTGAGCTTGAACCTCCAGTCTTTTAGTTAGCAGGTGAGCATGTGAACGACTTGTACCATCCAGGAACTGTTGTACCATGAAATAATTGAGAGGTAAAGCCAGATGTGGTGAGAGAACCCATCAAAAGAGGCTAAAAGTTGATGCTCCCCTTCTTTTTAGCAAAAAGAAAGAAAGAAAGAAAGAAAGAAAGAAAGAAAGAAAGAAAGAAAGAAAGAAAGAAAAGAAAGAAGAAAAGAAAAGAAAAGAAAGAAAAAGAAAATGGTGTGGTTCCTAGTTTTCTGCCACAAAATCTCACTTCTATATTCCCTGTGCGTGTTGTTGGCCTGTCAAGACCTTCAAGTACTGGACTGACTCTGAGGTCACAGCTCTTAGAGGAATGAGAACTGGAAAGGAGAGGTGTCTGCCATCACTGATTTGGTGTAGGAATGTAGGCAATTCCATTTTGCGCTGGAAAGGAAAAAGAAGTTTAGTGAGAGATGACATTTTTGTGTGAGTTTCCTCATAGCTCAAAAATAAAGGCTATAGTGGCAAAACAGTATCAGAGAAGCAGGCATTGACATTTTTAGCCTGCTTTGTCAAGAGTCTCTCCGTATGTGACAAACTTGAACTAAAATTCCAAACTCCACAACATAAAAAACAGGAACTCAGTGCCTGCATCACTCTTGAGAAAGGTGCAGCATTATGAGGGCTGTTTGTTGCTGCTGTTGTTTTTTCAGTTGCTTCAGCAGCTATTATTTATAGGATTTGAGATTTGTCCTGTACTTTATAAATAATACATTAATGACCCACCTTGTCTCTGAGTTGATTTCTTAGTAATGAGGTTGGCTTTACTTTGATCTAACAACGTACTTTAGTACATTATCCCCTGCATCAGGGCTGGAGTCTGTGGCGATGAAACAAAGCCAAGCTCTTGGCCCACAGTGAGCCTAATTAGGCCCACAGTGCAGGTCTCATCAATATTACGCTGTCACCAACTTGAGCAACTAGTGGAGCCAGAGAAGAAAATGTCCTTTAAAGACCAGATGATAACCTCTGGCAGCAGGAATTTTATTTCACTGCTTGGTCTCAGCACCCAGAATACTACTACTCAGAATATTCCATTGCTGTGAAGTGTATTTCAACTCAAAAGGCCTTACACATAGTGGCATTTGAGATATCTATATATCTATA